GGTGTTTTGTGTTTCAGAGCGTGGCCAAACCGGCCGACTGGAAGTACCAGACCTCTCTCTCCTCATCCTGGGTCTCCATTTCCTGTTGGCTAACCGTAGACCTGCTGCTCCCCCTGCCAGACGCCAAAACACAGAGTCTGGACTCCTGTCTGAAGGTAAACACACACACACACACACACACACACACTGAGTTATTAGTGTGGAGGTATTCTGAATGAGGTTTTGTTTCCAGGAGGCCCTGAGGGTCTGGGCCCAGCAGGTGGAGGCTGGAGTCTGTCTGATCGATGGGAAAAAGCTTCCGGAGGACGTGGAACTGGCAGCCGGACAGGTCTGAGCTTCTTCTGTTGAACTTATAGGTGCAAACAAAGCCGTATTTATTCAGGATTTACAATAAAACTGAACGGCGGATTGAACCAAACATGAACATCAAGATTTAAAATGGCCGACCACCATCTAACGGATCCCCTCTGACAGTGTTTTAACACTAATTCTTTTAGGACAAAGTTCATTGCGAGGTCATTTTAAGCTCAATACTGTACTGACAGATACTGGTTGTTTTTGTCTAATAGTTTAATCAAATTATCCACAAAACCGGATCATGTGGTTTAAATACACCACTCTAATTTACCGTTTTTTTCTCTGTAGAAAAGGAATGTGAAGCAAATGTACACAGCTCAGATCTTCACCACACCGGTAAGACACACACACACACACACACTCACACACACACACACACACTCACACACACTAGGGCTGTCAGGATACTGAAATGTTCAACTGGATACCGATAACCAGGAAAATATTCTATACCATTTTTGATTCCACAAGGATAAAAACATTCATTAATGACCCTAACCCTAACCCTCCAGCCTTCATAATTGTGAGAAATAATAATTTTTTGGTTAAACTTGTTTGGACTTATTGTACAAACCTATTTAACATCCACTATTTTAACATAATATTATGGATAGAGTTTAATCCAGTGTTTGCAAGATTCATTTCACTATTTTTAAATTAATGTCTATATTGCCATGAAGCAATTAGGATTTTCTTGCCTGGGATTTTCCTATTGGTGACCTAATCAAAATGGCCGACTTGGATGTGGGGGAGTTGGGTATGTACTTGATTAATGTTGGCGTGTTATTATTAGCCATTAGCCAAAGCTAGCAGTTCAAGGCTAACGTCACGTTAATGATCATAAACAACGTAAATAAATAAATAAATCAGAGAGAAGA